CACATAGTGCCAAGAAGGTGAGCAAACATATTAAGAACAGTATGCCATATATGCCAGGTCCCTTGAAACAGCAAGGATGGACCGGCTCCCGGCAATTTACCTTATTGTGTCTTATGTAACAGAAAACATTAGAATAGTTTCACATGCCAGTGATGATGAGGTATGATTCTGAGACCAATTAGTAAGAGTTTAAAGAAAAAGAATTTGGATATTTTAAACATAGATGTTTATATTTATTATAATTATACAAATTATAGATGTTTTCTTTAAAAGTAAAAAACTGAAAATGTTTTCAAACTAGATTTAAAAGCCATTGAAGCTGCATAATGGGTATACAGGAACTCTCTCCATTATTATTTTTTTCTACACAACTGAAGTTTTGTCCCCTCACAAAAAAATATTTAAAAAACAAAGCCACTGAAGAACCTGGAAGGGTAAGTTAGTGTACTGCCTTGGTTGGAGAAACATACACCATGGCCTTGTACAGCTGATGTTGCTGATGCCTGCTGGACGGGAAGCTGGAAAAGAATTACAGCATGCTCCTTTCCAATAAAACAGTAGCTTGTTGAATAAAGATTAAGCTGCAAACATAACTGTTGAATTAATATCTCATTTGCAGAATTATGCCTGGATTTGCTATTTGCCTTGCATTCATCCAGTGTCAACAGTAACTCCTCATCAAAGATCTTTTATGGAAATGCTTGGCAACAAAACACAAGTGGTGTTGGCTGAAATACTTAACGTATTGAACACTTTTATTGACTTTCACGGTTTATCCTGGAACAGCTGCCCTGACATTTGCACTGATGATGCAAAAGCAACGAAGGTAAAACCACTGGTGTGTGAGTGTCAATTAGGCAAACCCCGTATAGTCACTGTATTCTCCACGTAGGTAGACAAGTGACAAGTAAAGATGACAGATAGATGATAGGGAGATGACGGACAGTTTCGTTTAACAATGTCCTTGATGAAACAGCTGGAATTAACGTTAATGAATCTCGGCTCTTGGGGCCCCTCTGTGTAGCAGGGGCTGCACATGATGGTTTTCCAGAGGAAAAGCATTTGTGAGGTTATCTGAGCTGCCAGCTGAATGAGGCACCTTTTTCAAGGCGCGCCATTTTTACTGGAAAGAATGACAAACTGGTTCCTCAGACTGGGTATTTGGCAGACATTTCTTCAAAAATTAATGAGGGGAGCCTGTCACTTCAAGGAGAACAACGGATGGTATCTATTATCGATAATAAAATTTGAAAGGCCAAGAGAAAATAATTAAAAAACACTTGTATCTGCGACTGTGAGCTTGATAGTTTCCCAATACCTAAAGACTAACAAATTGTATTAAATAATACATATCTTCAAGCACTAGATGAGATGTGTTTGACCCCTTAAATTGTACTTGTCATCTGTCCATGATCTTGTATATCCTGTCCAAGCTCATCTAATGATAATTTCACTTCTCAGAAGAATGGGTCTGGAGTTTGTGGGCTGAGAGAGTATAAGAAGGAACTTAGGAAATAATGAAAACATCTGCCCCGACGCCATCGTCTCTCTCTCCTCCTGCCCTGAATGTTCAGCCCCTCCCTCTCTACTGGATCCTTCCCACCTGCACTGAAAACATGCTCAGGGCTCCCTCCATGAAAACAAAACAAAAATGCCCTGTTTAGCTGCCGTCTACCTCTCCGCTTGCTCACAGCCAGGTCTGTGGAAAGAGCTGTATGTCCTTATCAGCTCCATTGTCTCATTTCCTCGTGCTCCTCAACCACTCAGTTTGGCCTTTGCCCCATCAGTCTGCTCCGCAAATGACCTCTGGTCCAGTGAGAAGCCCTTCTCACTTCCCACTTCCGCTGATCAGGCCTCTCTTCACCTCTCACCCACACATCCTCCTCCCTACGCCCCAGGTAGTGTCTGGGGTCAACAAAGAGGGCGGAACTTCCACAACTTTCTGCTACATGGACATATAAGCACATATATAATTCAGAAGAATATGTGTTTTATATGTTTATTTTTTCTGAAATAGAACCACACTGTGCACATTACTTTGCAATTTCTTTTTTCCATCTGACATTATATCTTGGACAGTCTACAAGGCATAAAAAAACATTTCTAGATCCACCTTTAAATTTTTTAAAATTCTGACACATAAATGTGTGTGTATCAGTCATAACTACGTGTTAGCCATCAGAACACGTTGTTCCATTTCCATAAATTAGACAGAAAACCTGAGATTCTGCATCCGGGGCCTGTTGGGTGTGTCCAGTGGAGCAGGACCCCTGCCGAAGCTGTAAGAGCAGGGGTTTCAGCTCAATGTGAGGTGAAGGAAGCACAACTTCCCCGTGCCGGCCCGTCCCACAGCCACTGTATCTTGGGAGGCACAAAATAACCAACTGAAAACAATGGCTCCACTATCTATCTGTGTTTTGGGTCTAAATATTACATTAAAGGATTCTTTACATTTCTGAGCAAGATGACGTTTGACTCTAAGGCTCTGAAAGTCACTTCGCTGTCTCCTGCAAAGTTGTCACCTTGGGAGTCACATTCCAACAACAGTGCCACTTGCTCAAGTGATTTTTGGAAAATTTCCTTTAGTCTAAGCATCTCTCACTTTCTAAATTTTAAAGGCAATTTTAAAAGTAACATCTGCCCTCGGTGGAAGCGGAGCAGAGCAGGTCACCCTCACTAACACTCTGCAGCGAATGGTCAGGGAGGGAGAGTCCAGGATCTGCTGACCTGATTCATCACAGAGTAGAGTTGGCCCCAAACACCAAATCCTTTCCTTATCATCTTCCATCTAAATTTCTAGGGCCCTAGCCGGTTTGGCTCAGTGGATAGAGCGCCGGCCTGTGGACTGAAGGGTCCTGGGTTTGATTCCAGTCAAGGGCACATGCCCGAGTTGCAGGCTCGATCCCCAGTGGGGGCGTGCAGGAGGCAGCTGATCAATGATTCATCATTGATGTTTCTATCTCTCTTTCTCTCCCTTCCTTTCTGATATCAATAAAAATATTTTTTAAAAACTGCAAAGTTGCAAAAAGCCCAGAAAATGAAAAGATCTCTATATTCCTTCATTTATAGTAGACTATAATTGCTTTCACAGAGAAATTTCCAAAAGTTGAATTTCTGTCAACTAGAACAGTTGAGCCAAATGAATTTTCCCTTGCAATACAAAAATAAAGGGGTTAATAGCAACAAAACAGAAAAAAACCCCAAAGGGAAGGGAAAAACAGATCTTGAGAGGAACTTTGGGACACGATGGCAACAAGTTATTGAAATTAAATAAGATATTAACTCAAAATATAATTAACACAGCATTGAAGGGCCAGGCACAGAGGTGGTATCTTATCACGTCTTATCACAGGGCCGAGAAGCCTGGGTCAGGGAGCTGGCTTGGCAAAGGTGGCCTGTTTCTGGAAGGTTAGTAGGCTAAGATGGATTTTTACATTTTTAAATATTTGAAAAAAAAATTTAGTGACATATAAGTCATACAAAATTCAAATTTTACTACCTTCAAATAAAGTTTTATGGGAACACAGTCACAGCCATCCAGTTCTGTATTGTTGATCGCTACTTTGAGTGGTTGTAACAGAGACCCTGTGGCCTGCAAAGCCTAAAATATTCATTGTCTTCCTCTTTACAGAAAAAGTGTGCTGATCCCTGTTCTAAACCAGATTTTACTGCCATTATTTCTCTGGTGCCTGCAGCTGGCCCCCTGCCCCCTCGGCCCACCTTTGCAGAGGAAGGGCCTGGAGGAGGTGCTGGCCTGGATGTGGGCTGAGGTCCAGAACTGTGCTTGCCCCCCAAGCCGAGTGAGCCAGAACACTCACTGGTGCCACCTGCAGCCCGTGAAGAAAATGGCCTGAGGAGGGACCTACACTTGCAGGTCTCACTCAGCACAGCTGTCCTCCCTGCTGAGGGTTCTTAAATGAACTATCTCCCCATCGGATGACATCAATGGACAGAAGCTTGGCTTTTACAAACCTTTTAAACTGAAAGACGCAACTCCAAATAAAAAGGCACCTCCCAGCCTTCACTCCCCACAAAACAGAAAGAACACAGACCATTTAGTGCTACAGAGAACTAGGGAGGACACCGGGTACGTTTTTTCTAGGTCTGAAGGGAAAACAGTGAGAAGGCATGCCATCTGAAAACGCCTCTCCAGCTGATGAGCCACCGTTCTCTGTACCACTTCATGAGACGCACCCACACTACTTCTGAACCTTCGCGCTCTAAAACAACAGGTAAGCAGGTTTTTCACATCTGAGGAAACCCAGATCAAAAGAATGCAAAAGAACCCAGTAAACTGGTTAGTGCTGCCAGCCTGAACCACACCCTGTACTTGCACACTACAGATTCTCCCCGTGAGCCTCATGCCCAACGTTCCCACCATGGAAGGCAGGAGGAGGCCCCTTCAAAGCAAAAAACTCCTGTTCAAGAATTATCTTCCGACCTCCCAGAAATCCCTAGTGCCACCGGGTGTGGCATCCCCGTGCTGGTAGCAGGACGTACACCCGCCATGCGGCAGACAGACTTCAGACATGGTCTGCAGGCCGACGCTCTAACCTCCTGCTGGTTCCCCCCGAACCTCCTGCTGGTGAAGTCTAACTGCCGGCCCACACCCTGGACTGGTCGTGGGATGCACCCTGAGCAGAGGCCGCAGAAGCGATGCTCTGAGACTGCTGAGCCCAGAAGCTGCCACTTCTTCCCTCTTGGAGCCCAGCAGCTGACTGATAAGGAAGTCCAGGCTAGACCCCGGAGTGATCAGAGACCCCGTGGAGAGAGGCCCTGGAGGGTGCGTGGCCAGCTTGGACACAGAAAGCAGCAGCCACATTCCACCCCAAGCAAGACCAGCAGAAAACCCTCCAGCTGAACTCCAGCCAACCTACAGAACCGTGAGAAAGGCAGCAGGGAGAAAAATCGCCTTTTCCGGACTAACTTTTCAAGGCAAGGAAGGGACTCAGAATAGTCTGACACAAGTTTCCTATGGGTGTGAAGAGCCTCCAACTTACCTCATCATCTTCATCTTCATCATCATCAGATTCAAGAACACCATCCGGGAACTCTTCTATAAAGAAAAAAATCCATGAGTGACTGTGAACACAGTTGGGAGCCTTGGTCAACAAAATCCTGGGGCTCTGCAGAGACCTGTAAACACCCTAGTGAGAATAAGTTACATCAAAGCAGTCATGCTCCTGGTACCATTTCAGCCATAGTTTGATTTTAAATATATCTTTCCATTTTTACCAGAACACACCAGTAGTTGCATGAGAAAAATTAAAAGCTAACACACAATTTCAGGGGCATTCAGGGGAGAGTAAGCCAGTATTATTGCTAGGCCTTGTGCTGGATCCTGCCACACGTTATTTCACTCAATCCTAACAGATTTTGTCACCTCTTATCCCCATTTTATAGCAAATGGAGACACAGAGAGGATAAGGGAGTTGTTTATGGCCACATTCCCAGTAAGTCACAGAGTTGAGATTCAAACTGATTCTAATTTTTAAACCCCATCATGTTTCCACCTTCCGCAAAGGGCCTGCAAGCAAGTGGCTTTCAAAATGGAGGTGCTACGATGTTCATCAATGACAAACCTTTCTTTTCAAATATGGAAAAGCCTTAAAAAAAGGGAGAGAATCTTAGACATTTCATGAGGCCACAGGCTAATCCAGGGGGCGTGGTCATGGCAGGTCGGGTTCCTGAAGGCTCACGGGGTTCACTGCTAGATCGTGAAAGAGTTTACAAAGGAGGAATACATAGTAGGGCAGTGGAGTCACAGAAAGAATGAGCCTCTGTTTCTTTGTCTGTAAAATGGGTATGAGACCACCTAGTTCCTAGGGCTGTCGGGAGGGTCTTACACACGCCAGAACCAAATCACCTGGCCCAGGGCCAGGTCCACAGCAGGCAGTGCATAGAACTTAGTTACCTTCCCTCCATGAAGCTTTCCTCCATCCCTCACTGAGCAGTCGCCAGTGTCTCCCCTGAACACACTTGGCATTTATCTATAACCTGATCACGATCACCACATTTGGACAATCCATGTTTACTAACGATGGCTGCTGACTTGCCTGGGATCCTCCTCACCCACTGTGCTGGATAGTGAGTCCCTGGGAACAGCGCCCTGACTTACTCATCTCTGTGTCCCTTCTGCACCTTCCTCATTATCACTCATTTCTTGAACAGATGACATGAAAGTAAAGAATGCCTGAAAGAGGACAGGAAGTCAAACAAGAAGGAGGAGGAAAGAAGGAACCAAAGGCTATTACTCTTGAAGAGACTGGTGGCAGATTCACCCTAACTAATCAAGCCCCAAGCCATTTTCTAGGAGGGAATATGTAGAAACCTCGGGACAGCCCAGTCGCTGTCCTTGAAACAGCCCTCATTCTAAAGGGAAGGCCCACTGACTTAGCTGGCCCGCGGTCAGCAGGACACACCTGTGGGGCCTGCATGCCTCGGCGCCTCTCTCGGGCCAAGCTGTCGTCATGGAATCTGTTTAGTCAGAAAGCCACTCTGCAGACAGGAGGCTGCTGTCACTCTGAAGCGTAATTACCTGACTATTCCCCACTGGCCCCTGGGCAGCATGACTGAACTCCACCTTCCCCAAAGCGCCTGCAAGCAAGCCGCTTTCAAATGGAGGCGACAACCCTTTCTTTTCAAACATGGAAATGCCTTTAAAAAAAGAAGCTTAGACATTTCATGAGGCCACAGGCTGCTCCAGCCATATTCCCCTCCCTGAGCCGACTGGTTCAGACTCATCCTATCTCGGAGCCACCCAGTCCTGGGAACTGAAGTGCTTAGAGACCTCGGCTTTCCTCTCTGTGGGGAGGGAACATGAGCCTCACACTGTTCCCGGCTGTGGCTCCCCAGTAACTACCAGGGGGTGGCTTCGCAGCTGCCAGTACCCTCCTTTCCTGAGAGCCGTGACCGGTCAGGCCTTTGTGTCCTCTCTTCAGGGACCGGCCAGTATCTGCTCCCCTAGCTGAGGGCTGGGTTACCCCTTAGGCCTCACCAGAGTAGTCCTTCCCCACCTGTGGGTTAGGTTCCAAAATATACTGGAATCTCCGTACTTGAAAATCTTCAAACTCTATTGGGAAAACAGCGCTGGAGGACTGAGAGGGACTTGACAGTCTGAAAACCCAATCACAGGTTCTTAAGTTCACTCAACTGAAACGAGGCCATGTCATTGTGAGGATCTTACACCAGCGAGCGGCTGCCGCCTCCCCTCTGCTGTCAGTTCGCCCCTGAGGAGGAAGCCGCTGGACAGACGCCCTCCAGCTCCCCCTCCTCCAGGCCCATCACGCAGCTGGTGGTTCACTTGTTAGGGCCGTGGTCGGCAAGCTGCGGCTCGCCGCGAGCCACATGCGGCTCTTTGGCCCCTTGAGTGTGGCTCTTCCTATGCCTTAGGAGTACCCTAATTAAGTTAATAACAATGTACCTACCTATATAGTTTAAGTTTAAAAATTTGGCTCTCAAAAGAAATTTCAGTCGTTGTACTGTTGATATTTGGCTCTCAAAAGAAATTTTTGCCGACCACTGTGTTAGGGCATTTGCGCTTGTCAGTCTGGCCTCCATCCAAACGCTCACCGACTTTCTAATCTAATATTGTGTCAGAGTAGCAGACTCCTGCAGAATCATCTCAGGGCCCTGCCATTGTCCTTTGGGTACAGAATAACTTAGGTGCTTGAGATAAAAGGGAAATACTTCAGATCGTCTCTATTTATACTGGAACTTACTGAGTTAAGCAGGTATTTCCCAAGCTTTTCCTGAACACACAAGGTTACACAGCCCAGCTCTGCCCAGATAACTTCTTGCCAAAGCACATCCTGGACAGAAACATACACCGACCCCTCCCAGCTCACATTCTTCAGCAAACTCGTCCGAGTGCCAGTTTTATGGAAGGAAAAAGAGATGTTTTCTAGCCAGAGATGGAGAGTGAGGGGCCCACCCTGCTTCTTGGCTGCCAGGGAGGTGGGAAGGCTGACCAGGAAATGGAGGTGGTGAGTGTCGGTAAAACTGCAACGTAGTCGGCCCTGAAGGGGAGTCCCGACAGCAGGACCCTGCAGCTGCAGAGGAGCCCTGGTCCTGGAGGGAGCCTCAGCGGGGCGGTGACCCTGGAGAAGACAGGGAACAGCTCTCCCCGGCCATTCGCCACCTCCCCAGCTGGGGCTGCTACTCACAGAAGGTTAGGGAGCAGCCTCGGCCGGGACTGAGGGTAAGGTTTTCTTTCACTTAATTTTTTTTAATATGTCCACCCAGCAGAATGGAGGCCCAAAGTCAGAATCGAAGCCGTTGCAGAAAATAAAGTCCTATTCCTGCCCTCCTGAATTTGGGATGAATTGTACTTGCTCCGTGAAAACCAGAGGAAGGTGTTCAGGTGGAAATGGGCCTGGCCTGAGGGAGCCGAGCTCTCAGACTCCTGGCTGCTGCCCCGCTGCCTCCTGCCTGTCAGGAGCCCTGTGAGGCCCTCCTATGCCGCCCCCGTTTCCGAGACAGGGATTCGCCACTTTGGCTGCATTTGGAATCACCTGGAAGCTTTAAACACGGTTCGCAGCTGGGTCCCCAGAGGTTCTGGTTTAAGTGGGGTGGGGCTGCCCTGTGCAGCCAGGCTGTGCACCGGGAGCTGGAGGAGCCACCTGAAGGCTTCTTCCAGGAAAGGGCATCTGGCATCCCACTGCCTGGCCTCGGCCAAGCTGCTGACTTGGGATCAGAGCAGAGATGGAGAGATTCCGTGTTTCACCTTGTTCGTGTGCTGAACAGATTTGTGCACTTGGACTCTCAGTGATGGGGACGTCTGAAGACAAGGAAGGACAGGTAGAGAGACATAAGTGACGTGTTTGGCCCCTAGGTGCTGGCAGTGCTGGTGCCCCTGGCACATGTACAAGTCAGAATGAGGGTGTCGGCAATCCACAGAAAGCGCTGTGTTTCCCCATCCAGGGCATTCCTCACCAGCCTTTCTGCTCATTATGGGATGTGGGTTGTCATGGTAATGGAGGAAGCTGGATAGAAAGGAGATCACATCCTCCCATGCTCTCAATGGCAACATAACTTTTCCTGGAGTGGATGAGTGCATGTGAAAGGAGGATCACGTTTCCTACCGTGGCGCTGGGAAGGCCAGCATCTGTCTTCATTATTTACCCGAGGACTTGGGGAAGCCACTCTTTGGAGGTGGGGGGAGGATTAGGAGAGACCCACATAAAGGGAACTTACAGGTAGAGAAGGGTTTTGTTGACTATCGGCCTAAAGTGTGATAAGTGACTGTTGATTTGGGAAAATGTGGCCTTGACTACCTGGGTGAACTTTTGTTTCAACCAGGTAGTCCAAGATATGACAAGCCCTCTCATATCTTTCTGGCACATGTGAAAGATTAAAAAGATAGCTTATAGATTCTTGCATCAAACGAACCTGAATTAAGCTGCTTGATGATGAATTCGATCTGGCGGATCATTTCAGCGTTGCCTTCTTTCATGAAGCAGCGAAGGATGTCTTCCATTCCCTAAGGAATTGGAGAGGTAACCGTTAACATATCGTAGTTTCAGCTAATCCCCCCCAAACACTTTCTTCTCTATGCACAAAGAAAAGTCCTCAACTCAGCACTAAAAATTCTTTTTGTTCTTTTTATAATGCACAGTGAAATTATTTCCTTTTTTGGTTGATCATCTGACCCAATTACAACACATTTAGTCAAAAAACTAAAAACAACGTTCATACAACTTTACTGCATAAATATTTCCTTTAGTTTGGCAATATGTTGTTGTTGTTGTTGTTTTTTGGGGGGAGGGTCTTTCCTGTGTTTTCCTTAAATTTACACACTGCCTTCTAGATTTTAGGGCCAAATTTAGTCTTTGAAAAGTAAAATCTATGCTCAGGGAAATAAATGAACAAATAGGACCTTTTTTAAAGCAGTTATTCTGTTTGTATCAAAAGAATTATAAAGTCACTACATTATGTATTACTTTATTACAAAACACTGACATCATAACTTTCAGTACTAACAGAATTTCAGGGAAATGTAGAGCTAAGTGTCTATTTCCTCCTCCTCTTTCCTTGCATGATGTGAATGAGTATGTGTGGGTGGACCTGACAAAGCTTTCTCACCACCACGAGGGAAACGAGTATCTAATAATGAACTCAAAAGAGAAAGCAGAGTCCAGAGGTGCAGGCAAAGAAATAGATCTAGGAACATGTGGACCCTGGTCAGGCTGTGCCTGAAACTTATGCCTGGACTGTCCAGTTATACGAGCTAACAAGTTCCCTTCTCATGCAGGCCAGGTTGGAATCCATAGCTCTAGAACTGAATTAAAGAAGTGCCAAGAGTAGCTTTCAACACGGTAATTCCCATCATGTAAAGCAGAGCATTAGTCCTGGCTAGGTATCTAAGTGGTTAGAGCATTGTCCTGATGTGCCAAGGTTGTAGGGTTGAACCCGGCTAGGGCACATACAAGAAGCAACCAATGAATGCATAAATAAGTGGGACAACAAATCGATGTTTCTCTTTCTTTCCCCCGTCCTCTCTCTAAATCAATAAATAAAATAAAAAATAAAGCAGAGCATCATCTCCTTCTAGAGAGGTTAAATCTGGATTGTCATCCTAGCTCCCCGAGTTAACTGTGTGACCTCGGTCACGTTACGTAACCTCTCTCAACTACAAAGTGAGGATAGCAACTTGAGCAAACGTGAGAGCTTTAAAGATAAAGTGTATCATTGGGTGTTGGTTTTGCAGGTGTACACATCTGTCAAATGTATTAACTGTATATGCAGGGCCTGTGAATCTCATTGTTTGTGAATTAAGCCTAAAAATACAGTGTCTAGTCCAATGGCCGGCACACAGCAGATGCTCAATCAAGGGTTGAGACTGCTTGTTGTGGGGCTGGTGGCTTAGGAGAGAGCTGGCAGCTAAAGCCAAGGGATACAGGAGGCTCCCAGTGACAGCAGAGTGAGAAGAGGGTGAGGACGGAACCTTAGAGAACAGGCGGGCAGAGGCAGACAAGCGCATAGGAGACCCTGAAGGGGGGTCGGGAGGAAAGAGCTCTGGAAAGTCCCTAAGTCGAGATGAGCATTTCCAAGAAGGCGTGGTCAGCAGTGCTGAGGGCTCCTGCGGGACTGTCAGATGCCTGGGCTTGTCTGACCAAAGCGACAGGCCCTTCACTGGCAGGAACGCTGAGTTTATGCCTCTCCATCTCCTAAACTGGTCTCCACATTCTCACCTCCACCCTAGGTGAGGGCAGAGGAGGAAGAGTGTGTGAAGCAAAAGCAGTATAAGCCCCGAAAGGCCAAAGACCGGGCCACCGTGCACCATCAAGGTCAATGTCTTTAGTCAGTGGAGTGAGATGTGCACTCAGGCTCTCCTCTATCTTTTCCTTCCCAGATGTTACTTTTGCAAATGATCATCTGCTCATATATTGAAAAATATATTTTTTCCCACTTGCTCTCTTGCATGTAGCTCTAGCTCAGTTGTTACTTAGGGGTTAAAGAAAAGAAAAAGAAAATGAAAATCACGACTTCCTTCTCTGTAATTAGCAGGATCATTTGAGGGAAGATTTCTTAATAAAAAAATTCTCCAGGCACATGACCCAGATTCTGCCAATCAATGTGCCCGCGTGAGGCTGACTGGGAAGCGGACGAGGTGACAGGTGGGAAGCAGCGGCATCCAGTCGTTTGGGGAAAGCAGAGCCAGTTTTTTTGGCTTCACGGGCGTGAGCCCTGAGCCCGGGGTCATGGTACAAGCTGCCGTGGTCCAGCTGTCACCGGAGCAGCCTCTGGAGCATGTGGGCATCCTCACGGCTGCGTGGCTGCTAACCCAGCTCCTGACCGGGCACCTGGTCTGCACCAGCCCAGGCAGGACGTTTGGCGGGTTCACCTCCCCGGGGACTCCAGCCCAGCTGCCCCCGCCCCGGACGCAGGCATCAGTGCGGTGGGCTAGGGCAGCCCCGCTGCTCTGCTCTCCGGCCCAGACTGCGACAGTCTCTCAAAGCTCACACAGGCTTCAGGGCACTCATTTATCTTTCTCTCCCTATTATTTAAAACCACGTAATAGCATTTGGTACTAATATAACTTTTATGCAGTCTTGGTCATTTCCCACAAGTACACAAATGTTTTACACAGTTGCAAAATCAGAGTTGTTATACTGTCATCGTCTACTTTTATCTCTTAGTATACAGTTACATTTTTCCACACTGCCTCACACTGCTTTTCCTAATTATCATCTTCAATGGCTATGAATAGTTGGGGCAAAGGGACATAATTTCATTAGCAATTCCTCCGTTACCAGGCACTCATGCTGCTTCCAGTTATATTACAAACATGTTGATAGTGCGGTGAAGGCCTGGGGGAGGGAGTGTAGAGGGAGTCAACAGGGGGAGAAAGGAGACACCTGTAATACCTTCAATAATAAAGATACATTTTTTAAATTGATTTCAGAGAAGGGAGAGGGGAGCGATAGAAACATCAATGAGAGAGAATCATTGATTGTCTGCCTCCTGCACGCCCCCACTGGAGATCAAGCCCGAAACCCAGGCATGTGTCCTGACCAGGAATCGAACTGTGACCTCCTGGTTCATAGTATGATGCTCAACCACTGAGCCACGGTGGCCGGGCAATAAATAAATTAAAAACAAACAAACAAAGCATGTTGAAATGAGCATCTCTAGTAAAGCTCCTTTTCTGCATCGATGAGCAAAGGAGAATAAATGAGTCAGAGGTGGAGGTTTTAGTGGTTTCTCATGGAGACGACCAACTGCCTTCTGAAAGGGCTGTGCACGCCTGTGAACACCAGCAGGCTGAGAAGGCGGCTCTGCCTCCCCTTCCCCAGCACATCCCGAGCTGAGGAAGGTGGTGAGATTATGATGTTTCCCCCTCATTGCCTGATTATTTAAATTCTAGTCATATGCAAAAAGAATGTAATTCCTTTATCAATTGAAAGACTTCCTCAGGGATAAGAGTGAACTGTGGGAAATCTCAGGGTTTTGAGAGTTTGGCCACAATCTCGCTGAGAGGCCTCTCTTACGAACAGTTAAATAGGCAACCACTTCAGTGCTGTGTCCAGAAGCTTCCCCGCTCAGGCTGCCCGGTTCCTCCAGACTTGACTTCAACGCCCGTTAAAATGCCCAAGGGAGGCTGTGCTGCTTACACCTTTCCTAAGTGGTCCAGGTTTTCTTCTTCAAGCCCACAGTACAGCCATTCAGAGGCTGTCTAGAAACGCATGTCTGAAACCATAAAGGAAAATCTGAACAGATTCAACTAGAGCTAAAGCCTTGGCTGCTGGGCTGAAGTCCTGGCTAAAACAACGCGAGACCATCACAGCTGGAACCATCCCACTCACCTGCTCCTGAACTTTGTCCCACAGAAATGGAGAGCCGTAAAAAAGCTTTTAAGCCACTAAGCTTTGGGGTAACTTGTTACGCAGCAATAGATAACTCTTACAAGTAGCAACACTTTCATTTCCAAACATTGGGAGATTTCCTAGACGCCTTGTTTATGCAGCCTTTCTTCTGCCCCGTTATGGCTCTCTCCTCTCCTGCTGGGACTCCAGTTGAGACCGCTGGACATGGTCACAGTCTCAGCTCTTTGCCTCTCTTTCTCTCCTACCACCCCTGGCCAGGATGACCTCTGGGGGCCACCCTCTCTAATGTCTTACAACTTCGTGTCTCTCCTCCCCACTTGGTCCCTGTCCCTTCACTGCCATCCCCTCCGGCCTTTCCACCCGTTGCCCTGCAGGTCTTTCCTCCATGCTGCCTTTCACCCCTTTAATTCCATGTCACCTCCTTTCTTTCTTTCTCTGCAGCCCACGTTTTGTTCCTTGTGCCCTAGTTGGCTGGCAATTCCTCTCTTCCACCTTAATGACCATAATGCAGAATTTAATCACGTTTATTCTCCCCTGTTCTGTATTGAGACAACAGATTTTTAATTTAAAGGCAGTAGGCAATTAACTCCCATTGTTGACTTGTGACCACACAGAACGGTTAAATGAGTTTTTATCTCTAGTGTAACTGATGATGTAATTATGACCAACTAGAAGACTGAACAATTCTTCTAAGTAAACAAAACCAAGTGGAAGGCCATGACTTGTTGGTCTCAAACTAAATTTAGCCTCTGGAAATACATTTAATCCTTTCATCACATTTAAAAAATATTTTTTTTATTGATTTCAGAGAGGAAGGGAAAGGGAGAGAGAGATAGAAACATCAATGATGAGAGAGAATCATTGACTGGCTGCCTTCTGCACGCTCCACACTGGGGATGAGCCTGCAACCCGGGCATGTGCCCTGACCGGGAATCGAACCACGACCTCTCGGTTCACAAGTCGATGCTCAACCACTGAACCATGCCGGCTGGGCTATGACAGCATTTAATATGTACATTGTTAACGGGGTTTCACATCCTCTCTCTCTAGCTCATCCAAGGACAAAACTCCAGGGTTTGGGGGATCAGATACATCTGGATACATCTGTCACCGCCAGACACAACACTAACCACCTGTGGCTTGTTTTAAACTTCAAATACAAGCACTAACGGAGACACATTAAATACAGAATTCACTGTTTAGCAAACAAGCCTCTGGGCTGTATGTCATCTTCACCAGCCTTTCTGTCCCACTGGGTTGCTCTAGAACAGCGGTTCTCAACCTGTGGGTCGCGACCCCTTTGGGGGTCGAACAACCCTTTCACAGGGGTTGCCTAAGACCATCGGAAAACACATATATAATTACATATTGTTTTTGTGATTAATCACTATGCTTTAATTTTTTTCAATTTGTAACAATGAAATTAGGGGTCACCACAACATGAGGAACTGTATTAAAGGGTCGCGGCATGAGGAAGGTTGAGAACCACTGCTCTAGAATGTCTGCAGATTCAGGGAGTTTTGATTGTACCAATTCTCAGGCTGCCACAATTCCTCCGGGAGTCCTGCAGGTGGATCTGAGTGATGCTTTCTCCATCTCACCATTTTCCTGCTAAGCTTCTGCTACTACGAAATCCATAAGCATCCCCCAATCCCAAATTTACACGAGTCATTTAAATTTAAAAAAGAATGTCGCCCTGGCCCGTTCGGCTCAGTGGATAGAGCATCAGCCTGCAGACTCAAGGGTCCCAGGTTCGATTCCGGTCAAGGGCATGTACCTTGGTTGCAGGCACATCCCCAGTGGGGAGTGTGCAGGGGGCAGCTGACCGATGTTTCTAACTCTCTATCCCTCTCTTTCCTCTCTGTAAAAAATCAATAAAATATATATTTTTTAAAAAATTATAAAAAAAAAAGAATGTCGACAACTTTCCAAAAATAAACCTGCTGGAAACTTTCTAACACTGTGGTTCTTAATCATTGAAGGGATCACTTGAGAGTCTGATAAAAGCTACAGACTCTCATCAAAAAACTGCAAAGATAGGGTGTCCCAGAAAAATGTATACACACACTTCGAATAATGATAAAGGCTGTGTTTATTCAAATACATTTCATTTTAAAAATTGAACTACTGGCTGTTAAAGCGTGTGTACATTCTGGGGGACACCCTGTATGTGTCTAGTGTACAATTCTGGGAGTTCATAAACTGCCTAAGAACCCTCCAGGGGCCGCCCGGTCCAGGAAGCCCTTGCTCTCACAGTGACGGGGCACTGACTGAAGCAGACATGTGTCTCAGAGTGTTCCTTACCATCGCTCTCGCTTCCTCACGGACGGACGGGATAGAGAGGATGCTGTACAGTGCTCCATTCACGTACGGCTGTATCTTTAAGGGGAGAAAAAACAGTCACTTGTCAGTTCTCATATACTAGACAACGCAATTACCAAACAGCACACTGAGACACTGGCTGATGTGGACGGAGTGTCTCCAAATGACAGATGTTCCCCACCTGCATGTCCCAGTGACAGCTGTAACAAAGAGTCCAGAACCCACCATCGGTCATCCGGGATGGCAACTCAGGAGTCATCACCAACTCCTCTCTCTTTTCATTCTCCTTTGTGATGTCTGTCTTTGATAGGAACTCCTTTCTCATCCGCATGCTACTGTCCTTGTTCAGACAACATGTCCATGACCTAGGCTACACCAACCTCCAAATGAGTCTCTACCTTTGATTCGCACCCTTTAGTCCAACTGTCACATCACTGCCGAAATCCCCACTCTTCCTACCTCCGACACCGGCCACAGTCCACCTGGGCCGTCTCACCTCCTTAGTGCTCATGCAGGACCCTTCGGGTTTGGCCTCTATCACCTCCCTTCCTGCCGCCATGAAGTGCACACTGCAGAGTCCACACTGTAGGGGACGCCTGTACCACGCTGAGACATGCCTTGTGCCTGGGCCATGGTTCTAACAGTTCACTTTGCTGGGTGCACTCCCCACTGCAAAGCTCTGACTCCTCCTCTCACACCAGCTCAGACATGTCAGAGGGAGCACTTCCTGAGCTTCCAGTGGAGGCTCTGCTCTGCCCCTCACGTGCCTCCACCACTGACTGGAGCCGGTGTCGTTGAGATTTATACTTGTTCCTCCCGTCTTACTCACAGAGGTGCACTTCACAGGTGGCAGCGAGTTGGAGGCAACCAAAGTGGACAGCCCTGGGGAGCAGGCAGCCCTGGGGAGCGGGCAGCCCTGGGGAGCAGGCAGCCCTGGGGAGCGGGCAGCCCTGGGGAGCGGGCAGGGAAAGTGGGAGGGCTGCAAATGGAAGCCCATACTGCAGTAGTGAGAGCTGTTCATCACAGAGATGTACACAGAGCAACACAGAAAAGTCCCGAAAATGCAGGGAAAATGTAAGGAAAGTAATGAGATCTAGACTGCAACACTATTTATATAAAATAAATACACATAATATTAATGCATTTTCAGACTACCTACATGTCCACAGACACATGTTAATCACAACAGAGGAATGTCAACGTGGGGGGAATGAAGTGCCATGGACGACAAGGAGAAAAGTAACCCTTAGGGGCAGCTGGCACAGGCCGGTGCTGGTGGTGTGCCCATGAGGGAGGCGTGCTGGGGAGACTTCCTGCTCCTGAGTCTAGAATTCAGAAATTGTGAAAGCTCTGAAGTAGCTTATGCAAATATTGCAGAAGGGAGAGTGTGGTAACTGTCCCCGGCCAGCCCGCCCGAGCCCTAGTGGCTGAGTACCTCGTGGTTTTCATGGCCCAGCAGATCCGAAAGAACTTTCAGTACGAGGCCTGCCACTGAGGCGCACATGTTCTTCCCTTAAGAAAACAAAACAAAACAAACATGACGTGTCTAAACTCAGAAGCACAGGGCCAGTCAGACTTGAATACAAATCCCGGCTCCTCTGCTTATGAGCTGTGTGACCTTGGGTGAGTCACTTCACCGATCTGGGCCCCGTTCCCTCCTCTGGGACCCGTAGATCATTGCTATCCACCTCACAGGGTGACGTGGTATAAAGTACAGGAATAGGCTACACGCCTGTGCTCAGCAAATGGGGTTATTGTCCTTCAGGCAGAGCACGAGCTCTTCATCGCAGTGAAATTCTGCCTCACACAGACCATCACCATCAAAGTCAAAAGGTCACCAAACACTCCCAGCCGGTAAGCCAATGGCAGTAAGAAAAGATGACCATAAACTAGTCCTGGTTTAAAGCTGTGACTCGGGCACAGGCTGGTTTGGAAACAGAAGGTTGAAGTGGTCATTGACTCGGTCAGCAGCGCCGGGCTTCCGATGACAAAGCATCGAAGGGGGAAGGAGGTGCTAACCAACCGCCCTGAGCCCCCAGCCACGTAACCTGCCAACACTGGGCTACGCAGGCTGAGCTCAGCCACAGGCTGGCCTTGGCCCCTCTTCTAAGGAAGCATCTTTCACCACCGGGAACACATCGCTTAAGTGGGGCGGAGCCTGTGGAAAAGCTAACATCATTGCCTTTATTGATCAAGTACGTGAATGACTTGTGATTAAGGGCAGGCAGCGGGCTCGGCCATCAATTTAATCCTGTACAATCTTGGGAACATACTTCTCTGCCTTCAGACAGAAGGGATTCTAATTCTTAACCTCCTACCTTTGAGTAATGCAACGAAGATGAAGAAAAACATGAACTAATTTAATTCCCTCTTAATGCAGGTGCTACATACATATATCGCATATGGGTGGTTATATTTATGGGAATTGATATATATCTGTACACATTCTTTCCAAGGCCAGACTGGTATTTTGGCTTCAGGGATTCACAGCTTGATACCCAGTTGGAAATGCTTTACACTCCTCCTGTCTCCGGTTTTCTACGAGGGAGACTAGAGGAAGCCAAGCCAGGCTCATGGGTCATCGGATTCGAGGGTCGGGACCTCTCTGCTCCCGCACACTGGAGCCTGGAGCCGGGGCCGGGCCGGGCGGCTGAGACCTGCGCTCCGGAGGCAGAGGTTCATGAGCAGGGCCACTGCGTACTCCAGCGTGTAGTCCGACAGGCAATCGGGCTCCTTCAGAATGTCGATCAGCCAGAAGATGAGGCCGTCCTGAATCATGGCTGTCTGCAGCGGCCGCCTGGGAGGAAACAGCCCACAGGTCAATTCAAGTTGGCGAGAAACTTCATACAGGAGGACACAGCAACAGCAAGGCATGTCAGAGAAGACCAAGTGCACGAGATACTGATGGGGAGGAATATTCCACTGTCAGACCCATACAACTGAAACAACAAATTCTTTACTCTCTCGGCCGATTTTTTGCCTTGAGTTGCGAGCTAAAATTCGGGTTATGAGCCAGCTTCAGATACCCCCCGCTAGTTGGCACAGCGAACGTCACAGCGAACACCACAACATCAGCCCAGCATCACGTCTCACTCGTTCACTTTTTGATTTGACATACGAGTAATTTGAGTTACGAGCTCCGTCACGAAACGAATTAAACTCGTAAGTCAAGGCCCCACTGTATAAGGCAGTAAGGAGGCCTCCTACTTTGAACGTTTCCTTTCCAATATTTTAAAATATTTATTGATAACTTTTGGTCTACTTATCCCAAGAAGCAGAGCCATAGAAATAGTTCACTGACAAACAAATATTTACTAAACTCTAGTCTATTATCATTTAGCTTAGGCATTTTGCTCTGTGAAAAAAAAATAAAGAAAACATAAAAGAGAAGCAAAAAACCAGCTCAATACCATTTTTATTCAGAGCTCTACAGAGTAAGGATGACTTAATGACCTGGATAATACAATTTACACAGAACTGTATTCCCCCCAAAGTCCAGGTGTCACAGCTTAGAAAATGCAGTGCCTCGTCGGAATGTGCAATGGTGCCTGTCAGCACGCAGGCCTTAGAACTGATAACACTGAGCCTGATACCACCCCCAGCAGTCGTCTGAATTCTCTGAAAATCAAAGCAGTGCTGTGCACCTCCTGAGGGACAGACAGGTCATGGTGACTCTGCCAGAGGACGGCACCTGCTCGTGCTGGTCTCTGCAGCCACCAGTGACCTTTAGTAGCACACAGTGAGGACGCACCCTCCTGGTGAGCCTAACTGCTTTCTACCTTCATTGTAGAGACCCTGGAAACATTAGCATGTTTCCAAAACAGAAAGCTTAAATGACTGTTTGGAGGAAAAGGAAAATTGGCAGTAAATATTTGCATTACCAGGCGGAAGTATTTCTTCACCTTATCTTAGCTGTTATTTAACTAAGCTATTGAATTTCTAAAAATTTTCCAGCCAGCTATTATCTTTTTAAACAAACAGAAATGAAGTGTTTATGTGATTTGAGGAAGTAATAACTTTGGAGATTATTCACAGTTCTTTTCCATTCATAGAGTTAGGGTAAGAAATTTTCATTGGCAGGAACCTGGCAAATAGCAGGAGCTGCCCACCTGCCTCTCTCACACCAAG